CACTTTAGTTCTACCTTGTAACTTCAATTCTCTGAGCATGACTTTTCTATTTATAATGTTTAATGAAATTATCAGAGCCTTCTCCATACAACCAAATAAACAACAAATACCCAGTGATGTAAATAAATTATATATTTTTTAAAATCACATACAGGTCATCACTATTGGTCATATGTGAGAGAAATATAATACATATAACAATTAGAGAGAATTGACTACAACTAGAAATTCTAGGAACAACTTTATATCAGTTTTCTTTGTGCTGCTATAAAATATCATAGACTGAAAAATTTATAAACAATAGAGATTTATTTCTCAGTATTTTTGAGGTTGGAAAGCCGAAAATAATGATGTAAGCAGGTTCAGTGTCTGATAAAGGACTCTTCTTTCTGCTTCCAAGATGATACTTAAGTATTCAATGGACAAATACTTTGTCTTCACATGGCAGAAGTAGAGGGTCAAACCAACCCTAAGAGCCTAAATCCCATCCTATCCATGAGCACTCTGCCTTCATGACTTCATCATCAATGAAAGTCCCCACCACTTAATTTTCCACATATGGATTTTAGGGGAAATATTCAGATTGCAAAAGATTCCCAGATTGCTATTATAGTCTTCTCAAAAAGAGGCTACTAATCCATGCTTTAGTCTGTGACATCTTGCTGTGATCATAGATCTACCATACCAGACAGCCAGTGCCAGAACTTCCAATCCTAGAACAAACCCCACTAGTGACATACTTTCTGGGAATTTATAGTCTAAAAGAGTTTAATATTGCATTTCTGTTAAATAATATTCTGATAAATAATAAATAAACAACAACTACAAATACAATAACATAAATTTAAAAACTTGTCCAGTTTCACAAATCTGATCATGCAAATCTAAAGAACAAAACTAGTATGGCTCAGGTTATGGGATTCTTCCTACCATTTCTTGCTTCCTCCAAAACTGGGATTAGTATAATTTAAGAAATTTATTCTCAAGTTTGACAGTTTACTTCAGAAGTGACTAAAACAAATTCAGCATGTAAGAAAAACTTCTGTTAAAGATGAATAAAATCAATAAGGAACAATGACTGACAGGCTGCCTACATCATTCAAAGGGAAAACACAAACAAACCCAAAAATGTTAATGTGGATGCATTCAGCCAGCCAGAATGTGAGTGCAATATAGCAGAAAGTTCTGGCTCCAGTTAATTGATATGTGCTTTTGGCAAAATAAGTGAGGATTTGGCCCAAGATAATAGCTTAGACATCTGTGTACTAAGACCTCTGGGCAACTGCTTCGTGTCATCTATATTAAGTATCAGAAACTTGGTATATCCAAGTTTACTTGTCAGTCATATGATTTGAAATATGACAAAAATAACCTTAAACAAATAGGACAATGAGAAATAGATCTGAAAATCATGGGCAGAAGTATAATTCTCAACACCAAGTTCTTTTCTTCCTTCATAGACTATGCCAAGCTAATATTTTGTTACATTCTTTCACCCAAAAGAAAAAAAAAAGAAGAAGAAGAAAGCACTGAGATTTAAAACATAGGTACAAAAATAAAGAGCAAATGACAGTGAAAATACCTGATTCATAAAGGACCTTGATTTTAATAAGGTAAAGGAAGTAAACAATGTGAAAATCTACTAAGGACCTTGAAATTTGGCTGAATTTTCACCCAAGAAAGTATAGGATTTAATCAAAGCCACTTATGCTGAAAAGCAGATTTACATTCCAAATGAAAGCATTCAGAGCAGCTGAAAGCACAAGGCAGGAGGAGAAGGAAACAGAAGGTTACCCCATAGAGTTTTCATCATTGTCATGTCCTCTGCCTTCCTTCTTACTCAGGTAAATCACAAAGAAAGGTGTTTGGCTCAGAAAACTTTATCATAGGTTAGGAAGAAAAGTAAAACAAAGTACCAGTAACCAATATCCCTGGGAGATAGAAGATGAAATAATTAACAGGAGTCAAATTGAATTAGTAGATCAATGGAATCATTAATTGATGTAAATCAGAGAAATCTACACACATTGCTATGACTTAGTAACTATAAACCATTAAAATATTTAAAAATTTAATTAATTGCCCTAATTTTGAGCATGTACTAATCTCATTTGTGGTAAGCAAAAACATAATTTTAATTAATGAATACTATTGAGTAACTTTTATTTGTTTATTGCTACTTATTTATGGGTTCATTGATAAGTTGATTTGGAGACAGGGTCTCACTAAATTTATCAGGCTGGCTTCAATGTGGTGATCCTTCTGTCTCATTCACCTGAGTACCTAGGATTACAGAAATAAATTTTATTTATATATAAATATGCACAAGGCTCTCCATAAGATAATCACAGTTCCATATGTAACTTTCTTCTTTATCTGACTTTGAAATGTTGGATATTATCACAGCTTGTCAAAAGACCTTTGAATTTTCTTACTTTTTAAAATCGATGAACATATTTATGTTATATAATGGCATTTTCATACATGCATACATTATTAAATGATTGGATTAATAAATCAACAGAATGTTGATCACCTCATCTACTTAGCCTGTTGTGGGCATGCTTGTGCCTGTCAAGAACACTTAAAATCAATTCTCAGCAATTTTCAAGTATACAATATATTACTAGATACAATTACCTGAAAGTACAATAGATCCCTAGAACTTATTCCTCCTAACTGCAACATTGTATCCCTTGGCCAACAACTCCTAATTCTCCACCATTCTCTACCATGCACTGGACTTCTTTAGATTCCGCATGTGAGTGAGATGATACAGTATGTGTCTTCTTGTGTCTGGCTTAATTGCTTAGCATAATGTTCTTCAGGTTCTTAAACATTGTAGTCAGTGACATTTCCTTCAAGACTTCTTAGTATTCCACTGTGTATTTGTACCACATTTTCTTTATCTGTTCATCATTAGTGGACACCAAGGTTGAGTCCATATCTTGGCTATTGTGAATAATGGTATGACAAACATGGGAGTGCAAATATCTCCTCAGAGGTACTGATATCACTTCCTGTGGACATATACCCAAAAGTTGGATTGCTAAATTATATAGTAGTTCTATTTCTACTTTCAGAAGTCTCCATGCTCTTTTTCCATAATGGCTATACTAATTCAATATCCCACTGATATTTTAGCTCACCTGTGCACAAAAAACTCTAAAATTTATATCTCTAAATATAAATTTCCTTTATATTTCCTAAGCATTCTACTTTTCTTTAGACAATGATATATTTGACATCTGTGTTTAGATATATTGTATGAAACTCAAAATACCCAAATCTTATCCCTGAAACTTTCCTTGAGAATTTAATCTGTTCTATCTCTTTTCCCCAAATTTATATCAACTCATCCTTGTTTTCTTCCCTCTATGTGTTCTTATATATGTGATCAATTAGAAGACTTATAAGTGTTTCCTCTGATCATTATCTCAAGTTCATCCCTACTTCTCCATTTCTGTTGACTTAGCCCAACCTATTTAGTTTCTTCTGTGGATTACTATATTGGACTTTATGTAAATATGTGGATCCACAGACACTTTCACTTTATCCCATTATACATTGCATCTTGTCCATCCCTCTTTTAAAGTTTGTAGCCTGTAAGGAAAACAAACCAGCAAAAACAGTTTCAATACCTTATTTAGTTCCTGAAGATTCTGAACTTTGGTTAACCATGAGTGAAATAGTCACTAGCAGTTGGAGGTAGAAATGACATAGGAATGAAGCCAAAGGAAGAAATGTGTGTTTTGTTCTCTTTCCCTCTCAATGCCTAGCAAGTGATCAGGTAAATCAAATGATCCTGAAAATATATAGTTCAGAACAAACAAGAGCTATCAAGAAGTGAGGTTATTGCATCATGGGTTGGTTCTCCTCTAAACTTTCATATCAATGATGATGATAATAATAATAATGCAACATTCATTCATGAAACACATCTTCTTTACTGTGCACAATTACCCCATAAGGTCCATGTAAGTTAATCTCTAAAAGTAAAATAGACTATTAAGAAGTTATCCATTAATTCACGTGGCCATTGGCAAAGCTAGGATTTCTACCATTTTGCTTTGACTCTACATCTCTTGCTCTTTTGTCTTCTCTTGGCAAGTATTGAAAAGTTGATATCAGTAAAAAGTTAGAAGGTGTGGTCTTGGCTTAATTTAGTCTTGTCACGCTTTAATGAATTTCATTAACCCTTGGAATTTTAGTCACATAATAGATCTTTGGTTTATCATTTACTAGAATTATTTTTTGAGACAAAATCGCTGTTCTTTGAATGTTTGCAAAATGTTTCAGTTTCTTGGAATATTTTCATATAGCAATAAGTTATGTTTGCTTTTTTAAATATTAAAAAAACTTAAAACTTAAATAAAGGAATAACACCAGTTCCAAATATTTCTTAGGAAAAAATTCTAGGAATTGGACTTCATATATAATTTAATTATAGAAAATAAGGAGTTACTGTCTATTGACTATGCCTTTCACTGTGTGTCCATAGCACAAACACCAAGAAATAATGGGTAGAACTCAGACTAAAAATAAAGACTGACCTACATTTGAGTATTACTCTGCCATATTTTAGGCAAATTTTTGTCTTCCATGAACTTCAGATATCCTCATCTGTGAAACTGGCAGAATATGTAACTTTCAGTGTCCTTTAAAGATGAGAAACAGCAGTGTTTATTGCTTTTGTTATTATCACTGCTGTCATTATCATCATCACCATCATCAATAGCAGAAATGATACATTTTTTTTCTTTTTTTTTCCCTCAAAGTATCTGCTTTGCTTTGTCCTACTTTGCTCTCTTTTATTCTCTCAGGAAAACAACAAAGGCGTTAAGATTGATTACATACTTTGCTGTTCCTTCTGGCCACCATTTGTCACTGTTGTAAGTAAACAGTAAAATAAAATCTTCTCTTATTAAATGAGACTCCATACAAATCCCACACAGTCTGTACTTGAAGAAAAGAGAAAAGTCTCTTCTTCAGGTGCTCAGATTTGATCTTTCTGTATAAATCAATAGCAACCTATATATACACCACTCACCATTCTGAGACACAAACCTTTAGTTACAAAACATGGACAGTCTACATTACACACCAAAGATTTTAAGCAGTCTTCCAGTTCCTTGTGGGGAAAACCTCATCCAGTCCTGCTACAGCTCAGTTAATTCCTCTCGCCCTGCAACATAAATCTAATTAAGATTTTGACAAACACAATTTAGAACTGAAACTTAAAAGTACAATTAAGTGGTTTAAATGTAAAGAAAGTGATTTTTGGTATTAAATGTAGATGACATTTTAATTCTAGTAATTCATCAATTTGGAAATTAATGAAATTAATGAAGCAAGAAATAAGATGCAAATCCAAAAGTTCATACTCTTTTGCCTAGTTAGCTGTACTGGGTAAGCCCTAAAGAGGAAGCACACAATTATAGTCATAAGTAAGAATCCGACATGTGTTTCCATTACATAGTTATATGCAATAACATAGTCCAAAAAAGAATTTTCTGAACAAGAGGCACATGGTATGTAAATATGTGGAGCGAAAGGAGATGGGTATATGTATGAATGGATATTACAGAAAATTAAATTATTGGAAACAAACAAACAAACAAAAAACCCACTCACCTGAATGCCAAAAACTTCAAGGATGAAAATCTACAACATAATTAAAAAAATGAAAAAGTAGAAAACTCAAAACTTCCGAAATCTTGAGAAGTTCAAGAGCAATAACTATATTAACATTTGTAATATGAACAATTTTTTTTACCTACTTAAGAAATGTTTAGATGATCCAGAAAAAGCATGAATATTATCTATTATAAGAAAATGTTACTGGGTGTAGTGGTGTACACCTATAATCCCAGCAGCTCTGGAGACTGAGACAGAAGGATTGTGAATTGAAAGCCAGCCTCAGCAAAAGCAAGGTGGTAAGCAACTCAGTGAGACCCTTTCTCTAAATAAAATACAAAATAGGTCTGGAGAGTGGATCAGTGGTTGAGTGCAGCTAAGTTCAATCCCCGGTACACACACACACACACACACACACACACACACACACACACACAGAAAAAAAAAATGTCCAACATTAATTTTCCTTAAAAATGAATGACCATCACAACAAAATTTCTATATATTCATTTACATCATTTTTAAAATAAGCAAAAGTGGTTTTTCCTCTGAAAAATTATTTCATGTATGACACATTGCCATAATTCACATACTAATTGTGTGATGTCATGGCAGGTAATCTAAAATATTGCCAAGTATCCTTAACTTGAAAATATTCACACCTTTTTGAAGCTTGCCTTATTTTTTCTTTTAGGTGGTATAGGATCTCAGGAGAGTTTCTAATGTCTATACAGTAATGGAAGTGATAAGATAGCATGCTTGAGATTAGTCTATGACATTCTGAACTTCTGTCCTTTGAGGTCTCATGTTCTTATTCTGATGAAGCGACTCGAGAGGTACCCATGGTAAGGGGCTGAGAGTGACTTCTGGGCCACCATCAGCAAGGAAAAGAGGTGCTGAAGCAGACTCTTGATTGTGAGAAATCCTTAAACTTGGACTATGCTAAGCCACACCCAGATTCTCGGACTATAGAAAAGGTGAGATAACAGGTATTGTTTAAAGTTACTGAGTTTGGGGGCAAAATGTTGTATAGCAATAAGTATTCTAGAACATCTAATTTAATAATGCCAATGATCTTCTGTCTAATGTTGCAGAAACTAGTTACCAAGGATCCTCAAGGAAATTAAACCTAGCCATTCAGTTGAAAAGCTGTGTACTAGAGTGATATTTGTCAAAGGATAATGTTACTATAAACAGAAAACATCTTGTCATCATAAAAACACATGAGGGAGGGAGGGAGGGAGGGAGGGAGGGAGAGAGAGAGAGAGAGAGAGAGAGAGAGAGAGAGAGAGAAAGCTAATTTTCTTTGCTTTGGAATCTGAGTTACTGCTTTTGTTTTTGGTGTGAGCTCTTGAGAGATATATTAATCTAACAGTCTTAATCTCTGAAAATAAAAGAAGAAAATGCTTTTAGTTCAGATTCCTGCTCTTGAAAATCTTTTATAATGTACTGGTTGACTTTCTTACCTTTATAAATATAATACGGTGAGCTTAGGTGTCTTCTTTTGATGGCTTTCATACTCTATCTTGGAGTTATATTGAAAATCATTTTTCACTGCACAGCAATTTGGGTGTAGAAATGAAAGGAAGGATGAGTAGGCACTCAATCTAACATCTACTGAAAAGAGTTTGGAATAAAACATTGGACTTAGATTACTTTCTTTCTGATTTGAATTTCTGAGTCAACTTTAACTATACTAATAGTAACAATAATGAACCAAATTGTGTATTCAAAGATTTCAATTATATGTTTTTCATATTATTATTATAACCTAATTGCATAAACATTATATTACTATTATCACCATTTTTTTAACACAAGACTTTGTGAAAAACAAAAACTTCCAAATATGTTTTTAGTTAACTTGGTTATTAACTTGGTTATTCTATCAACATAACACAGACATACGGAAGAGTATTGAAAGGGAAGATGTATGTCATGACAGATTATAGAAGCCTCTGAGGCAACCCTGCATTCTTTTTAATGTGGAAACACCAAGACACCGCTTCTATTTGTGAAAGTCACTGCTTTTATTTGTGAAAGTCACATTGTCCTTAGATTTTTACTTGCAAATAAAATAATACCTTTACATGTATACATTCCCACTCTATATTTACAATTTCATCCAAATTGTAAATATGCTAGGCTAAATGACTATATGAATTCTGAGTGAAGGTTTGTAAAAACTATTATTAACCCAAGAGTGGGAAGAAACACAGCTTGAGTTTGCTATCCCAGGTGGAGTTTGCTGCTCTGGAAATTAGAAAAACAAAACCTTTGACATCCATGCTAGGGAATATAGACATGCATATTATTCTAAGAATTACCATGGAACCCCAATCTGTCAATTTCATTTTTACTTTTCTGATTATTATCACATCTAACATATTCTTACATTTTTGTTCACCTACCAGAAAAAGATTTGTAACAATGAATTAGAAGCAATCTGTTTATTATATAAGTTCTACCTCTCTCCACCTTCTCTTTAACCCCTCCCTGCAAACTTTCTTATTTTTATCACAAGTTGAAAATAGTTCAGTCTTCCATTTCTATTCTTGATGAATCAAGGAAACCCTCAGACACAGGAGGATCTTACTCTTATGTTTTGTTTTACTTAATCCTCTTCTAAAATAACTTACATTCCTTGACTAAGAGATAAAGGGAAGTGGAGACTAACTGTAAGAAGAATTTGCTCATCTATCACCTTGTCCTAGCTGAGGGTCAGTGATCTCAGCTTAGGCTCAGATTACTCACCCTGTCAACCAGAAAGTCAAACACACAACCCAGAGTCACTATCATGGTTTGCAGCTGGAATTTATCTCTAAGTCTGTAAATAATGAGTTCTGACTTGATCTTCTGACTCTGACACTTAATGAAATTTCCTGCAGAAAGGAATTATGGTGGCTCTCAAAATATTTATGCTATCAGTGGTTGCCTCAATGCTCCAAATCTCAAGTTTGTTTTAAGCAGTAGAGTAATTTATGTATATAAGTTGCATGAAGTCATAATAACCCATGTTCCAAACTCCAATGGAGATGAATTCATAAAGCCCTAAACCAGCAGATAAAAATTAATGAAAATAATTTGAATTTTTAAAAATAGCTCACTAAGAGCACACCAATGACATACAATAAACTTCTTATTTTGACAATATTTGATAAATTAGAGAAAATCAGGAATAAGTATGAAAACAAAATCCCTTTATCATTAACTGGCTGAATGCAGATAAGCAGAAAATATTTATAATTTTGGAACTTTTCAGATGTCTTTCATTCATATTGGAAATATTGCCAATACATGACCAGAGAGTTGTAGAAGTACTGTAAAAGACTTTCATAAGGTCTAGCAATAAATGAAAATCTCATCTCTTTCAAACGTGGAGCTACACCTTAATGTCAATAAAAGTTTTGCTGTTCTGACTATATTTCTAATCAAATATAGAGTCTTCTAGCAACAGAAGCAAAATGTCATTAAAATTATCCTTAAAATATTTTAGTTATTATAAAAACACATTATGGGTTGAAGAGTATGTTAGAGTTTAATACCATGCATAACACATATTCAAAGAATCATCACTGTAATATTTATAATTTAATGGTAAAATAAAGAATTCATTTATTCAATATTTTTGAAGAACTGAAAAGTATATAATGTAAATACTATATTATATAGAAAATTTCAAGTTATCTATAATATGTAATTTATTGACATGGGATGTTTTTCTCTGAGTAACTATCTTTTTAAGCACTCAGGACAACATAGTTCTATAGCACAAGACAGCAATAATTGAGTAAGTACTCCAGAAAAACTGACTTGGAATTTTCAGATTTCACTATTTGTATTAAATGTTTTCATTTTCTGGTTCCAATTCATCTTTGAATTTTTTTTTTATTTTCTTCCAAGAGCAGGCAACTTAAATTTTAAAGCATTTGTCCTACAACAATTAAATATAAATCCGATCATTCTGCATACCTTCAATGACTTTGTCACATTCTGCTTACTCTGGGATCTGTTCTCTTCAATGTGTACATTGTTATAATGGATGACTATTCATGACCAATGGAGGAAAACACTGAAGACCTTGTGATAGTGCTAATGATACTAAAGGTGGGATGATAGCTAGATTACACAGAAGAGCAAGAATTGAGTCTGAAAGGGTCAGAGTGAATGATGAACAATGGGTACATCTCTGTTATAAACTCATTCAAGTAAGTACTTTCTTAGCCAGAGACGGTGGCACACATCTGAAATCCCAGTGGCTTGGGGGGCTGAGGCAGGAGGATCACTAGTTCAAAGCCAGCCTAAGCAAAAGTGAGACACTAAGCAACTCAGTGAGACCCTGTCTCTAAATAAAATACAAAATAGGGCTCGGGATAAGGTTCAGTGGCTGAGTGCCCCTTCCTGACCACATTTCATGCAGGCAGTAGAAATGGGGTTCCCCTTGGTGAAATGGGCTGGCTGAGAAATAAAAAACCAAGAGAAATAAATGGCAAAAAAAAAAATCGCAAAGGATATATAAAATAATTTCAAAAGTGCCACAGTCCAGCTGCAGCAAAATAACCGAGGAGGGGGGGCGGGTAGTGAGGAGCAACTTGTGTACATTGATATAGCAGGAGTGGAAGCCATTTATTGTAGGACAGGAGGGGTATATATACATTACACACAGCTTATCTTAATTAACATAAACTAGATACAGCAGTCAACCAATAAGGAATCTCCACACTTAATGGCTCCTGGCATTACTTCACAAACCACTCCCTCTGCAAAATGCCAGGCGCCATCTTGACTTGTTTACGGACTCAAACACAAAAGCAGGGACTAGAAGGGCAAAACTATCAGATGAATCGAGCTTGTAGACTAATGATCAAATGGAGCCCAGGCCTGCTTTATTTATATCAGAACACATCAAAGGCCTTCCATAGAATGTTCTTCAAAAACGGTTAAAGGTGGGCTGTCCAGTTCCCAAAGAGTTACACCCATCTCCAGAGCTACTATGAGGGATCTTCCCAGCAGAGTAGAGATAAAGGTCACATCCATTGGGCAATCTATTGTCGTGGGAGAACCAGGGATAGTTTCCAGTGCCTAAACAAAATCTTCCTGGCTCCTATACTGAGAGAAGACCCTGCTTTCTCTCCTCCTCTTACCTTTCTTCCTCCTTCCTGGTGACTGAAATGCTAAATTCTTATGATAGACTATATTAAATCAGGTTTATCCAGTGTTCATTCACTTTCTTTGTTTTTATCCATGTTACTGACTAGAGTATAGTAATTTCCAAAAATCTGATGTTAATTTAGTAAAAACCTGTCATGTCTGAGAACACAGTATTTCCAGTTCCAACAATGGCACTTTTTTGAGTGAAAGGAACACAGTAACTATTCTTGGACAAGATTTATGATTTAGGAATATTCTGGGAATCTTAGAAGTCATCCCAGTTTATTGGAGTTTTCTAAGTTTTTGTAATTTTTTCCTATACATCTTCCACCTTCATAAACATCACAGGAGAAGAAGGTGGCCTGGGGCAATATTTCAAATGGCTTAATGTAAAAAACTCATGAGCTCTAAAATAATAATAATCATGTTCTGGTATCATCTTGGTCCCTTAACAACAAAGTGACTTATTTAACTTTTCTTTCCCTCAGATTCTCAGCTAATAAAATGAAAGTTAAAGTACTATTTCATAGGAAAGTTAAGTGAATTATTGAGAGTTGTTCTATAAACCATGTGTTCTGCTTTTGTAAGTTTTACAAGTGCAACTAAAAAGAAGGTGCATTCAGCTGTCGTTACAGTGTTCTGTAAGTGGTTATAAGGTCAAGCTGGATGATAGTGTTGTTCATGTCTTCCACACGCTCACTGATTTTCTGTCTACTGGTTCTATCAATTACTGAGAGAAGAAAGTTTCAATCTCCACGTATAATTGTGGATTTGTCAATTCAGACTTTCAGTTCTGTCAGTTTTTGCTTCATGTAATTTGAAGACCTTCTATTAGGAACATACACATTTAGGATTGTTATGTTTTGTTGGTGAATTGCACCTTTTATCATTATGAAATATTACATTTTATTTCTAGAAATACTCCAGGTCCTGAAGTCTACCATACCTATTATTAAGACATTTACTCCAATTTATTATAAAAGTGTGTTCTGTGTACTGTTTTCCAACTTGTTAATTTTAATCTCTACCTTTAAAGAGGGTTTCAGGTCCTACATTTTTATCCAAACTGAACACTAAGCCTTTTCATTGGAGTTTTTATTCCCCTTTGATTGTGTATGTGTATGTGTATACATCTGATAAATATATATTTAATCAACTCAAATATATATATGAGTTAAATTGATCCATATTGGCTAGTTAAGTCTACAATCTTTCCACATATCCCATTTATTCATCATTTATTCAATATTTCCCCCCATTCTTAGCAATTATTTAGGTCTTTTACTTTACCTATTTTGTTGTAATGTTAACTATAAATCAACTAGTTTTTGCCCTAGAGCTTCCAATATACATCTTCAGTTAAGCCCAGCTTAGTTTCAAATAGTATTATTCTATTTTTATACCATAATTTATATCTTTATAATAAATTTTATTTCTGCATATTTGATGAACTCCAGAATGCACTGATATTATTTTTCCATTAAATAATTATATCTCTAAAAGACTCAAACATAAAGCAATTAGCTTATCTTTTATTCTTTCATGATCTTTTAGCATTTATAGGGCTATTCAATCCACTATGTAGATCCAAGTTATTATTTGCTAACATTTCCTTCAGCCCAGAGACTTTCTTCTACATTTCATGTAAATGCATTACAATGGATTCTACCAGTTTTTGATTACAAATGTATTTATTGTGTCTTTCTTTTGCTCAAAAATCTATATAATTAGTATTTACATAGCCTTTGAAGCTTTCTGTTGATTGATGTTAATATCATGTGTCTTTTTCCATCTTTTCACTTTTTTCTATTAAATTAGTGATATACTGATTGGGAAGATAATGTCAACGTACTTAGTAGACAAATGCTTGTTGTTCAGAATATTAGAAAAACAAAAATAAATAACCTAGGGTGAAAAACAAATGAACAAAGGATAAGAATATATAAGTAACAGAAAAAAAAATAAAGGCAACAAACATACCAAAGCTGATCAGACTCAATGCTTATTTGTGAATCTAAAAATACAATTTCATCTAACCAACTAGAAAAATTTTAAAAAACTGTGACAAATATTTGCAAAGGTGTTTGGAAACAGATTATCTGGTAGCTAGAGAATCTGTCCTAATGGTCCTTGTGAATATTAAAACTATCAGTTTATATGGGTAAGAAATTAAGTGAACAGATTAATGTAAATCTTAAAAAATATTATTCAGATAAATACATTTATCTCAACTGTGCTGATTCTCATTCTCTATGGGAAAAGATGACTTTTTAGAATTTATGAGTTCTTTCTAGTTATATATTACAGCAGAATCCATTTTGATATAATTATACAAGCATGGAATATAAAGTATTCTAGTTAGAATCTCATTCTTATGGATGGATATATATGATGGTGGGATTCATTGTGGTGTCTTGCTTTTTGAAAATTATTTTAACTGTTTAAAGAATTCTAGATTGAGAGGTTTCATTTGATTTTGTCTCTTTTAATAGTTTGAAGACTTTTCTACAATACCATCTAGAGTTCATTGTTTACAGGAAGAAACCTATTATCACCCTCATATGTTTCTTCTGTCATGTAATGTGGCATATTTTTCTTCTGGATTCTTTGACATGTTTTAATAAGTAGTAAAGTATTTCATGACGATAAACTTTAATATAATTTTCTTGGTATTTTTTGTGCTTACTTTCATTGTACTTAGATTTTTAGTATTCTTTCCTTTTTTTTTCTTAATTGTACAATTTGTGTTAATATTTGTGCTTTCCTCTGCTCCTTCTCTTTTGGAACTCCAATGACA